ACAGTCACTAAAATTGCTTGTGAATTAGACTCCAAAGAAAACCTTGGTGAAGTTCAAAGAACTAAAATCATGCAGACCTCTCTGACTACAATGTGAAAAACTTAAAGATCAATTCCAAAAGTTAGCTTAAAAAGTCCCAGATGGGACTACAACTAAACCTAAAACGTGTCTAAATAACTCTTCAGATAAAAAGAAAAGTCATAAGGGGAATTCTTAAATACTTAGAACTGAATGAAAGCCCTTTGTATCTAAAGGTATCTAAAGCTAGGGGTGCCTAGCTGGCTCAATTGGTAGAGCATGGGACCCTTGATCTCAGGTTGTAAGCTCAAGTCCCACACTGGGTGTAGAGACCACTTAAAAATAAAAATACAACAGTCTTAAAAGATATCTGGCTGGGGTGCCTGGGTGGCTCAGTTGTTAAGCGTCTGCCTTCAGGGGCACCTGGGTGGCTCAGTGGGTTAAAGCCTCTGCCTTTGTCTCAGGTCGTGATTCCAGGGTCCTGGGATCGGGCCCTGCATTGGGCGCTCTGCTCAGGGGGAGCCTGTTTCCCTTCCTCTCTCTCTGCCTGCCTCTCTGCCTACTTGTGATCTCCGTCTGTCAAATCAATCAATCAATCAATGAATCTTAAAAAAAAAAAAAAAGCGTCAGCCTTCAGCTCAGGTCATGGTCCCAGGGTCCTGGGATCTAGCTCCACATCGGGCTCTCTGCTCAGCAGGAAGCCTGTATCTCCCTCTCCCACTCCTCGTGCTTGTGCTCCCTCTCTCGCTCTCTCTCTCTCTCTCTTAAAAAAAAAAAAAAAAAGGTACCTGGCTATAATTAGAGGGGAATTTACAGATATAAATACATTAATAAGAAAACCAGATGGGGTGCCTGACTGGCTCAGTTTGGTGGGGTGTGTGACTCCTGATTTTGGGGATGTGGGTTTGAGTCCCATGTTGGGTGTAGAGATTACTTAAAAATAAAATCTTAAGGGGTGCCTGGGTGGCTCAGTGGGTTAAAGCCTCTGCCTTCGGCTCTGGTCCTTATGATCCCAGGGTCCTGGAATCGAGACCCACATTGGGCTCTCTGCTCAGTGGGGAGCCTGTTCCCCCCCCACCCACCTGCCTCTCTGCCGACTTGTGATCTCTGTCTGTCAAATAAATAAATAAAATCTTTAAAAAAAAAACTTAAAAAAAAACAAAACTGGAACTTTTTTTAAAATGAGCTATGTTTAGCTGAAAATTTAGAAACAAAATGAAGGGAAACAATAAATTAAGCCTAAAGAAGCAAGGTGGAATGGAATAACAATCCTTGAAGTAGAGAACAGACTATAATGGAGGATTTAAATAAAACCAAAGCCATTAATTCTTGGAGAGACCAACGAAACTCAAAGTACTGCTTCACAGAACAAAAAAGACATGGTATACAGACAAAACAGGGATTTAAAAATCAATGAAAAATTACAAACTATATCCCAGTAAAGGTTAAAATCTAGATAATGACAAATTTCTAGAGAAGTTTAAAATGACAAAATTGGCATAAGAACCAACAGAAAAGTTGAACGTACCAATAAAATGAAAGAAAAATAAGTTGGTGGGGCACCTGGGTGGCTCAGTTGTTAAGCATCTGCCTTCGGCTCAGGTCATGATCCTGGGGTCCTGTGTTCCCTCTCTTACCATCTGCCAAATAAATGAATAAAATTTAAAAAAAAAAGAAAGAAAGAAAATAAGTTTGTAATCAAGATGTTCTCCTCCATCCCCCAAACTCTCTGGCCTTGATAATTCCATAGATAAGTTTTTTTTTTTTTTTTTAAGATTATTTATTTATTTACTTGACAGAGAGAGAGAGATCACAAGTAGGCAGAGAGGCAGGCAGAGAGGAGGAAGCAGGCTCCCTGCTGAGCAGAGAGCCCGATGCGGGGCTCGATCCCAGGACCCCGAGATCATGACCTGAGCCAAAGGCAGAGGCTTAACCCACTGAGCCACCCAGGCGCCCCTCCATAGATAAGTTTTACCAGGCTCTCAAGGAATATAACCCCTATCTTGTGCAAGTCATTCCAGAAAAGAGAAATAGAAAGTGACCCAAATCACTTTGTGAAACTGGTATAAACTTGATTCTAAAATCACATAGAACAGTAAGATAAAATAAAATTATAGCCTCATTTTACTTATGAACAAAGATGGGAAAATTCAAACAAAACATTAGGAAAGAAATATAAAAGAGGACAAAAAGTAGGGTCTATTAAAGTAATAGGACAGTTTGACATCAGAAAATTAATCAGTAGAAAGAGAAACATGTAATTAGTAGATGCAGAAAACACATTTCGTAAAGTTCAACAGGTATTTATGACTTAAAAGAAAACTACCAGAAAATTAGGAGTAGAATATCCTTAACTCCCTATCTACCAAAAACCTACAGAAATACAGCATATTTAGTAGAGAAATTTCAGACTCATTTGCTTTAAAATGGGGGGAAAAAACAAGGATGCCCACTGTCAAAGATACCTTTAATCGTAGTACTTGAGGTCTTTGCCATCATTATAAGAAACGAAAAATGAATCAGAGGTATAAGGATTGTTAAGGAAGAGAAAATTTTACTATTAGGAGAGTTCACCAAGGTCAACAGGTGAATGATAACTTAAAAAATTAGTAGTGCTCCTCCTCACTAGAGTGGTAAATTATTTAAAATGATCTCTAATGAGGAAGACCTGGGTGGCTCAGTGGGTTAAATGTCTGCCTTCAGCTCAGGTCATGATCACAGGGTCCTTGGATCAAGTCCTGTGTCCCAAGGTTGGGCTCCCTGCTCCGCGGGGAGTCTGCTTCTCCCTTTCCTTCTACCCCTGCCCCCTGCTTGTGCTTTCTCTTTCTCTGTCAAATGAATGGGTGAGATCTTCAAAACAAAACAAAACAAAACAAAACAAAAAGACTACTGAACACTGCCTAAAGCTCTGACTTCAGAATTGTGAGTAGTAAAACAGTTGTATTCATTCACTAAGTTTTAGGGTGGTTTATTACATAGTCATACACAATTGATGATACTGTTACAATAAATAATGAAAAAATAAGGATAAAGGTATATCACAGTAACAACAGAAATTATCACAAATCTTGGAATTAATCTAAAAATGCACAAAATCTTTATGAGGAAAATTTTAAACTATTTGAAGGATGTAGAGAAAGGAAGAAAGGAAGAAAGAAAGAAAGAAAAGGAAGGAAGGAAGGAAGAAGAAGAAACTGTCAAATTGGGGCACCTGGGTGGCTTGGTCGGTTAAGCATCTGCCTTTGGCTCAGGTCATGATCCCAGGGTCCTGGGATCAAGCCCCACATCGGGCTTCCTGCTCAAGGGGGGCCTGCTTCTCCCTCTCTTCCCCACTTGGGCTCTCTCTTGCTATCTCTCTCTCTCTCAAATAAATAAATAAAATCTTTAAAAAACCACACACACAACTGTCAAATTGTTTTCCGAAGTGGATTTACCATTTGACCTTCCCACCAATGTATGAAAGTTTCAGTTGCTCCACCACCTCACCAAGACTTAGTATGATTAATCTTTTCATTTTAGCCATTCTAACAGATGTGTAATGATACATAATTGTGGTTCTAATTTTTATTTCCCTAATGACTAATGACATTGAGTGTCTCTATGTGCTTATTGGCTATCCACATATCTTCTTCAGTGAAGTATCTTCAAATATTTAGCCCATTTTTTAAAAATATCTGTTGTTTCTTTTCTCATTACTGAGTTTTGGGAGTTCTGGATATATTCTAGATTCAAGTCATTAATGAAATATCTGATTTGCAACTATTTTCTCCCAGTCTCTGGCTTATCTTTTTAATTCCTTAACAAGGTCTTTCAAAGGGCAGAAGTTCTTAATTTTGCAAAAGTTCAATTTATCAATTTTTCTTTTTATGAAGAATGTTTTGATATTGCTAAGAAATCTTTGCCTAATGCAAGGCCACAAGTAGTTTCCCCTGTGTTTTCTTCTAGAAATTTTAGTGTTTTAGGTTTTACATTTAGGTCTGTGATACATTTGAGTAAAATTTTGTACATGTTGTGAGATATGGACCAAAATTCATTTTTTGTGTGTATGGATATCTAATTGTTCTAGTGCCATTTGTTGGAAAGATCATTTTTTCCCCCACTGAGTTGTCTCTGCACTTTTTTTTTTTTAAAAGGATTTTATTTATTTATTTGACGGACAGAGATCACAAGTAGGCAGAGATGAAGGCAGAGAGAGAGAGAGGAGGAAGCAGGCTCCCTGCTGAGCAGAGAGCCTGAGGCGGGGCTCGATCCCAGGACCCCGGGATCATGACCCGAGCCGAAGGCAGAGGCTTTAACCCACTGAGCCACCCAGGCGCCCCTCTCTGCACTTTTATTTTTAAAAAATCAGTTGTCCATAAATGTGGAAGCCTGTTTCCAGACTCCATTCTATTCCATTGATTTATTTGTCTCATAACAGTGTTCTCAGTTTCTACCTTACGATTTTAGAAAAAGAAAAGCAAATTAAATCCAAAGTAATAAGAAGAAAGAAAATAATAAAGATTAGAGTGAAAATCAATCAACAACAACAAAAGAAAAGAAAGAAAGAAAGAAAGAAAGAAAGAAAACCAATAGAAAAAAAAAACAATGAAACCAAAATCTGGTTCCTTGAGAAGAACCAGCCACACTGATCAGCAAAAAAGACATCAATATTAGCAATATTAGGGGTGAGAGCTGACATCCCCACAGATTCTACAGATACAAAAGGGATAGTAAGGGAATTCTCTCAACAACTTTATCCAATAAATTTGACAACTTAGATGATAGGGACAAATTTCTTGAAAGACACAAACTGCCTAAGTTCTCTTATGAAGCAATAGATAACCTGAATGGCTCTACGTCTATTAAAGAAATAGAACCTGATGTTAAAAATGGTCCCACAGAGGTTCTTGCCAGGCCACTTCGTAGCAAATTGGGTCCTGAGCATCATCTCCCACCGGACTCCGAAGATCTAGGAGGAGCCTCAGTCTGTGACTAGGCTTCTGATGGATTCGCCAGAGCAGCTTTACCCAACCTGGGATCATCTCGGACACCCATTGAAGAGGATTCCCACGAAGGCTCAGGTGCCTCTCAAATGATCTCCGAAGTATTAACCAAGAACCTTGGTATATTGACCCTGGACTCTAGTATCATCCTCCCTTCCCCTATGCCAGAATATCGATCCCAGCAGCAGGGCAGAGAGGAAACCACAGGGGCTGGTGGAGCGTATCCTCAGCCGCAGTGGGAGGAGGACTGGAGTAAGGACTTTGTTAATGGCCCCAAAGAAAAGGATGGCAAGGATGAGTAGAATGATTCAGTACCAGCGCTACCTAAACCCGGGGTCCCAGCTTCCAAAAGATCTACAGCAGAAGGAAACAGAGGAGGGTGAAACAAGAGTGGGAAGATTCAGATGTCGCTGTCGTTATCGCCTGTATCATAAAGAGCTTTCTGAGGAAACCAACATGGAGAATAATTATGACATGGAGCCAATGTAAACAAACTTTTATTCTTGTATGTTTCTTTTTGCTAGTGATTTTAGGATCATTTTGCAGCAGCGTGGAAAGCTGTTCTGTATTAGGGCAAACTGTAATATTTTGATAATCTGCGATATGATAAGGCTTTTCTTTTTTGTATCTTTTCTACGGTGATACCAGTAACTTGTGAGGAATCCTGTAGTTTGCATTTGAATGACGTCTGTATACTTATACCTTTTGATTTGACCTAAGGAAGCACTAATAGGTTTTTTTTTTAAGATTTTATTTATTTATTTGACAGAGAGAGATCACAAGTAGGCAAAGAGGCAGGCAGAGCGAGGGGGAAGCAGGTTCCCTGCTGAGTAGAGAGCCCGATGTGGGGCTCCATCCCAGGACCCTGAGATCATGACCTGAGCCGAAGGCAGAGTTTTAACCCACTGAGCCACCCAGGGGCCCCGCACTAATAGGTTTTGAATGTTGCCTGTGTGTTTGAGAGACCTGAAGTCATTAAGTAGATAAGACCTACTATCCAAAATTGGAAGCCAAGTAACTTGTGCAGAAGGAATACGGGAAAACTTTGGGTGGTTTGGTTAGAGCATAATTAGGGGAGGTGCATATGCTAGATTTTTCTGGTTTTCAGACATAGTAATAAAATTTTTTTGTTGTGCTATTTCAATTTTCAGTAGGAAATGTATGTGTAGAGGACCTTATTAAAATTGACTTATTTGAATACCTCTTAAAAAAAATTGTCCCACAGAGAAAACTCGAGTCCCAAGTGGCTTCATTGGTGAATTCTCCCATGCGTAAGGAAGCTCTAATGCCAAGTCTTTACAAACTTTTCCAGAAAATCAAAAAGAGGTACTCTCCACCCCCTTCCATGAGGCCAGCATTACTCTGACACTAAATTCAGACATTTGCAAGGAAAACAACAACAACAAAAACTACAGACCCACGTCCCTTGTGACAAATATCCCTCTTAACAAAATTTTAGCAGCATGTTCATGGATAAGATGACTTGGCAGTGCTAAGATGACAGTTCTCTCACAAATTCATCTATAAACGTATCCAATTCCATTAAAACTTCCAGCAGGATTATTTTTAAAGTAAAATTGTATTAAAGTGTAACATTCATATAGAAAACCACACCAATCGTAAGTATACAACACAATGAATTTTTTAAAAAGATTTTATTTATTTATTTGACAGACAGAGTTCACAAGTAGGCAGAGCAGAAGGCAGAGAGAGAGGAGGGGGAAGCAGACTCTCTGCTGAGCAGAGAGGCTGATGCGGGGCTTGATCCCAGGACCCTGGGATCATGACCTGAGCCTAAGGCAGAGGCTTTAACCCACTGAGTCACCCATGCACCCCAACATAATGAATTTTTGCAAAGTGAATAATTTTATATAACCATGATGCCGATAAAAAAGCATTACCAGTACCGCAGAAACACTGCTGGTCCCCTGTCACCGTGGTAACTAAAGAACAGCTTTCCCTGTCTTGAACTTTCTATATAGATGGAGTGGGGTTGGGTCTAAAAAGAACGAATATAATTGAAGAAATAAGGGTGGTTCCTTGATGGTGACTTTGATGAGCTGTGAATTAAGGGGTATGATTAACTTCCTCATTCCACCCGAAGTCTCCAAACACCTACAAAATAAACCAACAGAAAACGTAAAGACCTCTGGCGAATCTAGCTTACCAGGTCTAGACATGTCTGAATTCCAGTGGTAGACACAATTCCAGGGTCAAACTATTTCCATCTCCCTACCCCCACCAGCTCCAACTAGAACCAGATCCCTCTGGGGACTAAAAATACCCTCCACTGGATGTTGGACTCCCATTTCTCATGGCAAGTCTCCTCTCATGACTCAGGTTACTCATCTGCTAAATGGGTTTACTTGTCATAACTCACAAGGATTTGAGGAGGAATATCAAAAAAGAATAAAGTATGTTAAAACAACTTACAAAGTATCATTGAAAATAAAAGCCATCAAGGGGAGCCTGGCTGGCTCAGTCAGTGGAGCAAGGAAATCTTGATCTCAGGATTGTGAGTTCAAACCCCACATTGAGTGTAGAGATTAGTTAAAAAAAAAAAATCTTGGGGCACCTGGGTGGCTCAGTTAGTTAAGCGTCTGCCTTCATCTCAGGTCATAATCCCGGGGTCCTGGGATTGAGTCCCAAGTTGAACTCCGAGCTCAGTGGTATGGGGGTGGGGGTTGGTATTTGCTTCTCCCTCCCCTCTGCCCCCCATCACTTGTGCTATCTCTCGAGCAAGCTCTCTCTCTCTCAAATAAATAAAATCTTTAAAAAGAAAAGAAAAAGAACTTAAAAAAATAAAAGCCATCATAGATATTATTTTATTTTCTTTTTTAAGATTTTATTTATTTGACAGAGAGAGACAGAGTGAGAGACGGAACACAAGCAGGGGCAGAGGGAGAGGGAGAAACAGGCCTCCCCCCCACCAGGGAGCCCAATGTGCGACTCGATCCCAGGACCCCGGGATCATGACCGCAGCCGAAGGCAGACGCTTAATGACTGAGCTACCCAGTTGCCCCATAATTATTATTTTAAAGGAAACATTTCCAAGCAATTCCAGCCTAGATTTCTTTTTAGAAATCTTTAAATTATTTTATTATTTTTTAATGCGCAAAATTTAATAAGATGTAAGAAGTATTTTGATTTGTGGGAAAAGAAAAGCCCCCTAATAGTACTCTTAAGTGCCATGGTTTGTGTATATTACTTATTTATTTATGTGTTAAACTTCAGATTACGTGTGATAAACTGTCCGTGGTGCAACGCTATCGATTTCCCTGCATTAGAAGTTGAATTAAATGTGCATTCCTCTGGGGTTGGTCACCATGGGGGAGGCCTAAAAGTTTGGAGGAAGAGTGAACAAAGACCATTAAAGCTCTCTGGGCCCTGTCTCCCATTGATCTCTGTCACCCCAGGGAAGGCTTACTGCAATCCGGCCCACGTACATCCTGGTCTTAATGTTCCCCTAATGGTACCTAATGGCCGCTTGGCTATATCCCTTGCATTATAAAAAAAAAAACAAAAAACAGCTGCCTTCCCCAGCCATGTCTCAGGTGTGTTCTAGAAAGCGAAGTGCTTTTGAGTATATCTCGTGTAAAATACAATATTCCTCAGTGAGCCTTGTTTCATGTTTTCATTAGCTCCTTTATTCACGGAACTAACATCTATTGAATATTTACGCTGTTCTAGGCATTTCGCCAGTGGTAGTCTTTGTCACCAAATTACAGTACTCATCTCGGTGATCAGTACTTGGAAGTGAATTACTATCCTCTTGTTGTTCTCAGAGAATTATTAAGATATTGGGAGAAGTAAAGAGGTGTGGCTCCAGGTTGAATGCCTACCTCCCAACTGGATGACCTTGGTCTGATTATCTTTCAGAAATAACTGAGCTTTTCTTTGTGGCCTAGTGTGAGATCAATATGTATAAATATAACATATATGTTTGAAGAAAATTGTATTTACTCTCTGTAGCATAGAGAGTTTGGTATGGAGGCTTAGGACATCAGTGTAGTGAATTATTTATTAGAATTTTCTGTATTCTTATAGACCTTTTTCTTTTTCTTCCAAATTAAAAATGTGACTAGACTGCATTTAGGTCTTGTTTAAAGTGATTTCACCCAGGGGTGCCTGGGTGGCTCAGTGGGTTAAACCTATGTCTTCAGCTCAGGTCATGACCCCAGAGTCCTGGATTCGAGCCCCACATCAGGCTCCTGGTTCTCCCTCTGCCTCTGCCGCTCCCCCGCTTGTGCTCATGCACTCTCCCGGTCAAACAAATAAGTAAAATCTTCCAAAAAAAATTTTTTTAAAGATTTTTAAAATTTATTTATTTGACAGAGAGAGATCACAAGTAGGCAGAGAGGCAGGAGGGGAGGGAGGGGGCGGGAGGGGAGGGGGAGAAGCAGGCTCCCCGCTGAGCAGAGAGCCTGATAAGAGGCTCAATCCCAGGACCCTGAGATCATGACCTGAGCCGAAGGCAGAGGCTTTAACCCACTGAGCCACCCAGGCACCCCGAATATCTTCAAAAAAATTTAATTTCACCTGACACTCTATGACATTTGAGCTTCAAAATGTGACTATCTTTAGTTCTTGAATATTCCCCACTCCACCCCTTGATTCTTTGCTCATGTCTCCTTTTTTATGGTTTCTGTGTTCTCCTTCTGGGATTCCTATTACAGGACCCTTTAGTCACAATTCCAAAATCCTAAATTCTCTGACAAAACAACACTTATTTGGCAGTAAACCTTGATCCAACATGATGTGAAACTATTTATCGACTTTATTTCCCCAACTGTTTTGCAGCGGAAAGATAGTATTTTTTATTACAAAGTGCTGACACAGACCTCACTAAGGGAAAGGTGTGGGGGGGTGTCTTACCAGTTCATGCACCACATCATCAACTAGAACACCCCGCACACTGAAGCAAATCTTTTTGAAGAAAGGGCTGTTGGCTTACAGATCTACCTCAGATCGCCTGGACAACTCCCCCCACCTCCCTATATCACTCATGCTTTTTGCAGTTTTCAGATTTATCCTCTGAGTTCTAGCAGAACTTCTTCAATCTGTCTTCTTCACGAAGTTTCTGGTAGCTCTGCCTCTGTGCAGTGTTTCATTTGGCATTTACAGTTTGATTCTCCAGGAAAATATTCCCTGATCTCAAACAGATCCTTCCTTGGGACTTCTTGCTCTGTATCAGCCAATGTTCCTTTCCGTGTGGCAGGACTAGAACAGGAGTTTTTCATGGGCAAGAAACAGAAACGCCACTGAAAGAGGCCTGAGGGAAGAGAAGACTTTATGAAAAAACGTGCAGCAGCTGACGGGCTGCAGGTCGTCTGGGTTCTAGGCTGTCTCCAGGGACCTCAGACAGAGACTAGACTAAGGTTTCATGGGGCCACAATCCCGTTCTCTCTCTCTCGCTCGCTCTCTCCCTCTTTAACTTTGCTGGCTTCATTTTCTCCTAACGCAGTTGGATTTTTGCCCCCTGGTTAGAA